TATCTTTAATATTCTTTTATTATAACTAAACTAAATCTGAAGCCAATTTTGAAGTTAGATTAATCAACGACTGGAAGTCCAGATCATCTTCGACACTGAGTTGAGCCTAATGTTATTTTAAATGACCTCAATAATTAAGTCAGAGGTGGATATATAGTCTCTTCTCGCCATCGCAAACTACGTTCTTCAACTTGAATGTAGTTTAAAATCATACACTAGGAGTAAAGAAAGATAGGTCAAGACTAGTTTTCCTAAGAACCCGCCAAAAATCCTACATCTAAGACAAGCACTTACCATCATTCATTCAATTATTTCTTATCCACTTACTGTTAATAATGAAAATGACCTTATGTATGCTCTTAAAATACAGAATGAATAAAATAATCTGCGCTTAATTCACTTTGAATAAATATTTCCAATGAAAAGATTACAATCTGATGACAACATTCAAAATGTTTCAATAGTTGATTCTTAATTATCACCGTAGCAAGTCCTTATCGTTTTGATTATTGCATTTGTGAACACAATTATTTCAATCTGTTGACTTAATAATTGGTCCAGTATAAATATTCTGTAGAACTTATTATTCAATGACTTCATAAATCAATCCAAGATTTGTTATAACTTGTAACCGAGTGAATACCCTGTTAACGTATGACGTAATAAGACCACCAATGATAGACCAGGGATTTATTGATCGTACCAGTCACACACGAAACCCGTACGAGCAGTCTAGAGCACTTGTCGGTCCTGCTTTCTGCCTAGCCCAGCCAATTAAGTCCAGAACACCAATAACAGCCTCTGTAATATGAATCATTTATTTCAAACATACTGTGTTTATGTACCAAACAGACAGACCACAGTGTACCATAAAATAGAAAATGACATTTGTAAAAGATTTGGAAAAATGTGGCTGTGAATAAGGGGAACTGTAATTAATGGACTAGAAGTAACTCAAGAATGATAAATCGTATAATAATAGATCATAGATCAAAATAAAGCTTAAAATAAGAGGAACACGAATATGAATAGTTGAGTTACTTATCAATCATGCAATAGGAAATGTACATTACATATTGGTTCATAAATAGTTCTCAAAGTTACCATTCATAAATCGCTACGGGATATAACAGAGTATGAATTATTTAAATCTTAGAACAGAAATAAATTAACATTAAAATAACCTAACTTCAATTTATTACATTTTTGTATTGGTTGTTTGAATCTTCCCATTGATATTTAGGACTGCAATTGATCAGCCCCTTTTATTGGCATACGTGCATCCTGTATGGATTCCCTTGATATTACCTTAAGTCACAAGCATTATAAGTAGCTAAGTAGGTAACATGATAGCGCTTGAAGCGAATGGTATTAGGTTCAGGTCACGGAGTGAACATCAATCCTAGGATGCAGGTACATCCAGCTGATGAGTCCCAAATATAACGATACATGCATCCTGGATCCTACTGTTGACCATCATCAACTTCAGTTTATTGTTTAGAGAATAATAATAATAATAATACAAATAAGGCGTTGTCTCTAACATATAAACCAAGTAAGAATTAATATTCACTATTCTCGCACACACACACACACACGGTGTTATATACATCAATTTATACAGAATAATAAATTTCAAAGATAAAGATGATTTAATGAATAGGTTGTTTTAAATTCCCTTTTTTACTTTGATCGTAACATAGTAATTAAATGGATTGTTATATTCATTATAATTACAACTTCCAAACATTTACAAGTTACAAGAATGATGATCACTTGTCCTTAAATAATTAACATCTTGATTAAAAAACAGAAAATTTGTTTGTGTTGGGGAGATCCAGAGAATTCCTCGAAAAAAAGGCTCTGAAAACTCTAGGAAACATATTATCTAATCAGCATCCAATAGAAGTTATGCTAGAAACATCTAGAAAATGAAAAAGTCACATGTCGCGTTTCTGGTTGGACGATTACCTATACTGTTGCTATGTAGCAGTCGCGTCCTAAAATTTTCTGGAAGCCCACGGTCATCTAAATTGTTATAAAAACCTTAAATTTTCGTTACCTTGAAGTAAAGCATTTCTTCCAAATCGCTGTGTAGATTTAGCCTGGGGATTACAAGAAGAGCTTAGGAACCAAATCTAGCGTTTAATCTGAAGACTTGTCAGTCTGTAATTTACTACTAATGTAGATTTTAGATTATATTCGATATAATGAATAATGGATCATCTTCTTTAGGCGCATAGTTTTAATCTATAAAAGTTAACTGGAATTATGTAGCTGTTTAAATTACATGATTTTATGTTTATATCTTATCATCTGATAATTTTTTGGTCTAGCTCACTCTAACTAAGCAACTAAACTATTCTATTGGTTCAATATATTCTGTAATGAAGTGTTACCAGTAGAAATTTATATTTACAAGTACAGGTTGAAAAAGAACAATCAGGACATGTGATGACCAAGCTATAGTACATCACGTTTTCATGCCACCGATTGATTGATCAATATATTGTAGTGCCGCGATTCGTTAGTCGTTTAGTTCGATAACCGTTATAATTCTAATCTTAACGGCGCGTAAAATCAGAAGACAAAGGATAGCAGCAACTACAGTTTATTGTCGAATAACTCAGGTTCGAAAGCTAACAACACCTGAGCGAATAATAACGAGCGAGTGAGCGGCAAGCGAGAGAGCGAGGCGAATAATGATGCGTATTAGAGATGGCTGGGAAGCCAACTCGAGAGCGAAGCAAAAGATAATACGTATTGGAGATGGCGGGAAAGCCAACTCGATTTAAGCAAGCGTTAATCAACATTTATAGTCGGACAAAAGTGAGTGACAGACATACGATGAATAAGATACGAAGTGTACACATATATGCTCATATAAAAGTATAGTCGATGTTAATAAGCAAATGATTAACAAGATCAAAATATGACTCATAATGGATAGGCGAATTGGCTTGGCCAGCAACTAGAATAAAGTATATGGGCTTAACATATAAACTGATACTACAATATCGCTGACCTTGACGACTTATCACAAATAATTCAAAGTCCTGTGAACATTCTACCAAGGTAGAGAGAGATATATTGAAGATGAATAACAATTAATAAATACATTCTTGAACTTTCAATTTCATCACCACAATGACAATAAGAACTTCAGCAGTATTAATAGCACTGGATTAAAAAGTTAATATTCCGGATTAGTCACCGCAACTGACTAAATATACACAAGATTATCGTTATTATTTATCATAAGTACGAAAGCAAATAATTGTATTAGAATGACTTGCTCAATTGTCATATCTTTTCTAATCTAGTACAGTATGAAATATATGATTGCCATAAATGCACCAGATACACAATGGGAATGAATCCATTATACATAAATCAGAGCATAGAATTCATATTACAACACCTTTAAAAGTTAAGTATAGAAATATTTGCATATTGCAAATTGAAATGTCAAAATGTTTGCAATATTAAAATTCTCGTTTATCAAATTGTCCAGTTTCACAGTTTTCTCAATTCATAATGAAAACTATTTTTAATGACTAGTTACAATCAGATTATTACTCATATTAATGGAAGACTTGTTAAAGTACCTTCCATCAGTTCGCTTTTAATTATGCTATATACTATGAAATAGATGTTATTAATACCAAAAATCGATGATATACCAGTCGAAGTAAATTTGAACCAAAATAAAAATTGTAGAGAATGTTTTATTATAATTTGAATGAACTTCACTTTTTGTAAGAACTAGATAAATTCATGGTGGTCTAGTTTCAATTGACACATGATTTCAACTATGGAAATACTGAAATCTCTACAAAATCCCTTCTGATCATAATCACATGCTCATTAGTGACTGGCTCCATGAGGTATTTCCTGGAGTTCTAATGGGAAGCAGTGACCAGTGGAGTTCAACCAGGTCTGCTTTGAGATATCAACTCACTGAAGACAATTGGTGAATGGTTGCTCAATTTCGTGGATTGGTTGAAGTTAGACATTAACACTATCGGATGCCGGATCAGAGGTCTAGTGGTTAAGCGCTCGTGAGCAAGTCTGGTAGGTCCTGGGTTTGAACCTCGCGAGTGAGGGATCGCGGATGCGCACTGCTGAGGAGTCTCATAATAGGACGAAACGGCCGTCCAGTGCTTCCAGGTTTTCCATGGTGTTCTAGCTTCAATCGATTCATGGTCTCAACTATATATAATAGATTTAATTTAGAAGATCAAATTATTTCTGTCACATTGATGGAATTCTTTAATCAAAAGCATCTATTACTTGATTATAAATATAATACGATTCAGTCATCAGTTCATTATCATACAAGAACCAAACTGTATTCACTATTCTATTAAATTTGATTAACTTTTATATACAAAGTGATTAAAACTAACTAATATCTAGTATCGAATGTGAATCTTTTAAACATATTAAACATATTATAACTGTGGTGGAAACGATTTGTAGCTCACGTGCATGATTTTGATGGAGTTTTGTTCTCTGAGCTAGATAGTTTGGTCGTGAAGCTTTCATCGTCCTGATAAACGACATCATCAGCTTAAACTTCAGGTAGAAGGACGATGAAAGCTCAACAACTAAACCATCCAGCTCAGAGAACAAAACTCCATCAAATATTATAACTCTATTTGGTTAAATAGTTTGTATATAAATGGATGTCCCAAAAAAACTATCAGATAATGATCCCTACTGTACCCATCTACTAAAAATCTTTACAAAATACCACTTCTCATTAAAACAATAAAAACAAAAAAGGGCGGATATTTACTTAATTCGTCTATTTTAAAAGTTAACATAAATCTAACCAATAGAATAAAGATCAACGTAAAAAAATAAGTAACAGGATATACTTTAACAAAGTAAACCGTCCCCCCCCTTTTTTAAAAAAGAAACCAATTACATTCTTCCCTAAGGTAAACTAATATAACTTGAAGTGTATTTAAAATCTGGTTTCAAAAACATTTTTAGGGTTGTTAAAACGAAATAAAATATGCTTATTCCAACAAAACCTGCACCTAATTTCAATGGAAAAGCTGTAATTAATGGTGCATTTAAACAAATCAATTTACATGATTATTTGGGCAAATATGTGGTATTATTCTTTTATCCTGCAGATTTGTAAGTTAAATTTTAAGCAATTATGTTTTTGTTTGTTTTTTTAAAATTAATTAGGAAGTTTTAATAGTTAAGATCATGAATCAATTGAAGCTAGACCACCATAGAAAACCTAAAAGCACTGGACAGTCGTTTCGTCCTATTGTATGACTCCTCAGGTCCTGGGTTCGAATCTCAAGAGGCGGGGTCGTGGATGCGCACTGCTGAGTAGTCCCACAATAGGACAAAACGGCCATCCAGTGCATCCAGGGACTCCTCAGCAGCCCGCATCCACGATCCTGCCTAGCGAGATTCGAACCCAGGACCTTGTCTTTTATTTGAACAGTCACTTCAAATTAACCAAAATATGTGAAAGATTAGTTGCAAAAATGTACATTCGTTTAATTGAAAAGTAGAGAGATATTTGTATATAATAAAAATAGTTATCACTAAATTATCCTAAATGACTTCAAGCTATTGACAATAAACTAAACTCATTTAGTATTATCATTCACCCGTGGATTAACTAGAAATTTCTTGTTTGACTATTTAACCTGAATTTCTCATAAATGTTTTCATGTAACACAGTGTTCGTATCATATCTCAAAACTTATCAAAGATTTTGCCTCAACAATTAAAGCTCTACTATATATGGAAACAAATTAACTTCCTTTGTATAATATTGACGCTGACTGGAAGAAGTATGACATTGTGTAACGAGATTAAATGTGAATGTATATTATAATCCATTGTAACATATACAGTTCAATCATATTACATTTTAGATACATGTCAATGATTGTAGTTGGATGACGATTGCGCAGTATCTCTAGTTGATTGTAGTTCAAAATGTGAACCATTCGATAGTAACTCGAAGGTTTTAATGTTAAGCACTCATTATAAGTCATGAACCTCCTGGATACGATCTCCAACAAAACCTTTAGTACACATTACTATGTTAAAATGAAACAACTGTCTCTAATGATTTCCTGGCAAAAATCAGTTCGTAATGTAAACCTCAAATCGTATAATCTCCAAAAGCCTCTTACAATGTTCATGACAAAAAAATATTATTGAATGATCTTATGATACTAAGCAGTATATGTTATATCATAAAAGGATCTTCATATATCATTTGTAAACTAAGTGCTCTAGCTCTGATAGATGCGACAGCTTTGAATCCCATATACTGGATAAAAAAATTCCGTCATTGCGAAGGATACACTAAAATTCATGACTTAAGGAAGCATCTACTAAAATACAGGGTTTGTTTTTCGAAATAATGTTGATCGCCTTGTAGAAAAAAAGGAGCATCTAAACCCGCCTTTAGTTTGTGTCAAAAGACAATATCAAACTGATATTCAGTATAAACTACAAAATTATTTTAAGCAAAGATGGATAGTGGCTAGCAGTGGAATCCAGGACGCACTTTTTGTCCTATTTGGGGCTCGTCAGTTGGATGTGCCTGCATCTCAGAGTTGATGTTCACTCTGGGACTCGAACCCAGTACTTTTCGCTTCAAACGCCATCGCGTTGTCCACTCAGACAATATCGAGGAAATACGCACAGTATACACATATGCCAATAAGAGACTTACCTGTTGCAGTCCTAAACATCAATGGGAAGATTCAAACAAACAATACCAAGTGAATTTACAAGAGTATTTTGTTTCTTACAAGCTGTACAATGAAGCAAAATTGCAATCAGGTCACTGTCATAGAAATGTTTGTCAAAGCGAGAACTCAACAGAATAAACGTCTGTTTCAACATACTTCAGTATTATTCAATATGATTCGAAAAATTTTAAAAAATTAGGCAGCTAAATAGGTTAACATCGATTCATTCAACAATAAATAGTTTGTAAATATAAGTGAATACTTGCTTGGGAATTTTTTCTTCAAAAACTTGTTCATAAAAACCCTGGATGATTTAATGACACATCAACAGGATATGCGAATAATAAATTACTAATCAACAGTATATTCAAATTTCAGTGACCAAATAGCTTAAGACATCAACTCGGCGCCCAAATATTGTGAAGCTATTCGCTTTAACTTAGACGGAAGTTCTTACAAATTGTTTAAGTTGTAATGATTTGAGTAAATATAACATTGAATTCAGCTCATTTACTAAATCAGAACTGAAAAGTCCTGCTAATTGAACGCTATATTCTGATCCTAAGCTAGTTTTGTAATCCCCAAGCTAGAACTAAACAGCGACTTGGACGCGAGAGACAAGTCGAAAAATATACGAGAATCACTTAACTTTAGAAATTCATTTATGTATAGAAACTATAGGGTCTTTATAGTATTTTAGAAGTCCTTGGGTTTCCCTGAAAATCCCAGAATACTACTAAACATAGTAGCAGTATAGTAATCAGCCAATCACAAACTTTACTTTACATGTGACTTTTCATTTACGTGATGTTTCTAGCAAAACCTAACTCCGCCTGTAGTTCCTCTGGGGGTTACTGCCGGTCCCAAGCCCGGGTAAAGGAGGAGGGTTGGGCATGGGGTTAGCGACCCCATCCCGTAGAAAATCAACTCACCAAAAAAACGCCAACCAGAAAACATCATTCAAACCATTCAAACTCTGCCCTGGGAGTAGAAGGAATAATTATGACGTCTCATGATGAAAGCCGAGTTCCTTCGGAAGTCATGAGGCCGATGCACCTTCTTACAACCAGAGCGACAATTTTTATAGGTACATGGAATGTCCGAACAATGTGGGAGACCGGAAGAGTTTTTCAAATTGCTGCAGAAATGAGAAAATACAACCTAGAGGTGCTTGGAATCAGTGAAACACATTGGACGCAAGTTGGACAACAACGACTGTCTTCAGGAGAACTTCTGTTATACTCCGGTCATGAAGAAGAAAATGCCCCACATACACAAGGAGTTGCATTGGTGCTGTCCAAAAAAGCACAAAATGCACTTATAGGATGGGAATCTCATGGACCGAGGATCATCAAAGCCTCCTTCAAAACAAAGAGAGAGGACATTACAATGAACGTCATCCAATGCTATGCACCTACCAACGACTACGATGAAGACGCCAAAGACCAATTCTACGACAGGTTGCAGTCGATCTTCGAGAAGTGCCCAACCAAGGACCTGACAATTCTGATGGGAGATCTCAATGCTAAGGTTGGAAAGGACAACACTGGATACGAAGACGTCATGGGACAACATGAACTGGGAGAAAGGAACGAAAATGGTGAGATTTGAAAACCTATGTGCCTTCAATAAACTGGTCATAGGTGGCACCATATTCTCACACAAAAACATACACAAAGCCACTTGGATTTCACCGGATCACACTACACAGAATCAAATCGACCATATCTGCATCAACAAAAAGTTCAGGAGGACGATGGAGGATGTGAGAACCAGAAGAGGAGCTGATATAGCATCCGATCATCATTTGCTGGTCACCAAGATGAAACTAAAATTCAAGAAGCACTGGACAACGGCGCGGACAACATCACAAAAGTTTAATACGGCCTTTCTTCGAGATGCTGACAAACTCAACAAATTCAACATAGCCCTCAGCAACAGGTTCGAGGCCTTTCATGATCTACTAAATAGAGAGGGGACTACCATGGAGAGCAACTGGAAAGGTATCAAGGAGACAATCGTTTCAACATGTCAAGAGGTTCTGGGCCGAAAGAAGCACCATCACAAATAATGGATCACTGTTGGTACACTGGATAAAATTGAAGAAAGGAGGAACAAGAAGGCAGCAATCAATATCAGCCGAACCAGAGCGGAAAAAGCCAAGGCACAAACCGAATACACAGAAGCAAACAACAAGTGAAGAGGAGCATCAGAACCGACAAACGTAAATATGTGGAAGAATAAGCGATGACAGGGGAAAAGGCTGCAAGAGAAGGAAACATGAGAAAACTGTATGATACAACAAAGAAACTTGCTGGAAATTACCGTAAGCCAGAAAGATCAGTGAAAATCAAGGAAGGCAAAGTAATCACTGACATTGAAGAACAACGAAACAGGTGGGTAGAACACTTCAAAGAACTCTTGGATCGACCAGCTTCACTGAACCCACCAAACATCGAAGCAGCACCCACGGACCTCCCAATCGATGTTGGCCCACCAACAATTGAAGAGATCAGCATGGCCATTAGACAAATCAAGAGCGGCAAAGCAGCGGGACCAGACAACATCCCGGCAGAGGCACTGAAAGTAAATGTAGCAGCAACTGCCAAGATACTTCACATCCTCTACAGTAAGATCTGGGATGAAGAACAAGTACCAACAGACTGGAAAAAGGACTTCTGATCAAGATACTAAAAAAAGGCGATCTCAGCAAGTTGCTACAACTACAGGAGCATCACTCTTCTCTCAATACCAGGAAAAGTCTTCAACAGAGTATTGTTAAACAGGATGAAGGATTCCGTGGACGCCCAACTTCGAGATCAACAAGCTGGATTTCGTAAGGATAGATCGTGCACAGATCAAATCGCAACTCTACGTATCATTGTGGAACAATCAATCGAATGGAATTCATCACTCTACATCAACTTCATCGACTACGAGAAGGCATTTGATAGCGTGGACAGGACGACACTATGGAGGCTTCTTCGACACTACGACGTGCCTGAGAAAATAGTCAATATCATACGGAACTCCTATGATGGACTAAACTGCCAAATCGTCCACGGAGGACAACTCACGGACTCGTTTGAAGTAAAGACCGGTGTAAGGCAAGGTTGCTTACTCCCACCCTTTCTCTTTCTCCTGGTGATCGACTGGATCATGAAGACGTCAACATCTGGAGGAAAGCACAGAATACAGTGGACAGGCGGGATGCAGCTTGACGATTTAGACTTCGCGGATGATCTGGCTCTTCTATCACAAACGCAACAACAAATGCAGGAGAAAACGACCAGTGTAGCAGCAGCCTCACCAGCAGTAGGTCTCAATATAAATAAAGGGAAAAGCAAGACTCTCCGATACAATACAATATGCACCAATCAAATTACACTTGATGGAGAAGCTTTGGAGGATGTGGAAACCTTTGCATATCTGGGCAGCATCATTGATGGACACGGTGGATCAGATGCAGATGTGAGGGCGAGGATCGGCAAAGCAAGAGCAGCATACCTACAGCTGAAAAACATCTGGAGCTCAAAACAATTGTCAACCAACACCAAGGTTAGAATTTTCAATACAAATGTCAAGACAGTTCTTCTGTATGGGGTGGAGGCGTGGAGAACTACGAAAGCCATTATCCAGAAGATACAAGTGTTTATTAACAGTTGTCTACGCAAGATACTTCGGATGAGATGGTCAGACACTATCAGCAACAAGTTACTGTGGGAGACAACAAACCAGATTCCAGCGGAGGAAGAAATCAGGAAGAAGCGCTGGAAGTGGATTGGGCACACCTTGAGGAAATCACCTAATTGCGTCACAAGACAAGCCCTCACATGGAATCCTGAATGTTAAAGGAGAAGAGGAAGACCAAAGAACACATTACGCCGAGAAATAGAGATAGAAATGAGAAGAATGAACAAGAACTGGAAAAGAAGGCCCAGGACAGAGTGAGTTGGAGAAAGCTGGTCGGCGGCTTATGCTCCATTGGGAGTAACAGGCGTAAGTAGTAAGTAAGTAAGTCTAGCAAAACCTCTAGTCGAACGCTGATTGGACAAAATGCTTCTTAATGTTTTCCTGAGCTTATCATGTCTATTGCAAGAATTTTTCAGGATCGCCCTTACAAGAACATTTCCTAATATTCCGTCAAATATTTTTATTAAACAATTCTGATGTTGTAAAACACTTTTCAGGTAGAAGCTCTCGAATTTATTGTTACTTCTTGGTAAAAATTATTTTTTTTATTTATTTAAACACATAAATATTGGTACAAGGAAGCACCAGATATATATGCACCGCACAAATCTCATTCGATTTGTATGAGGGCTGTGATACTGCCCAGGTGCCCAAACTGAAGCAGATGGTTTTCTTAGGGGGCCACACCCCGAGCCTTTGACCTAAAGGTCTGATCCACAAGACAGTGGAGCTTCGTGAGGGGATGCTCTTGGTAAAAAAAAGAACACAAATGAACTAAGTTTGATGTACAGAAGTACAGAACTTTTTTCAGGTACAATGAAACATGTAAGAGAAAAGTAGATAAATTAGCAAGATACCTTATTGTATATTACAAATTGTATAGCGTACACTTATGAGTCAATCAGTCACAACGTAGAACTTTGTACGTAAGTACGTCAGTTCGAGTTGTTTAGAACACATCATTGATCTACTGTTACAGAAATATTCATCTATATACATTTATTTCTTTTATAGTACGTTTGTCTGTCCAACTGAAATTATAGCATATAGTGAACGCGTTGAAGAGTTTGAAAAAAGAAATTGTCAAGTTATTGCCTGTTCAACAGATTCTGAATATTGTCATTTAGCATGGACAAATATGGATCGTAAAGCAGGTGGATTAGGTCCAATGAAAATACCACTTTTAGCTGATACAACAAAATGTATTTCACGATCATATGGTGTACTTGATGAAGAAGAGGGTAATGCGTTCAGGTAAATCCCATTATACAAGTCTGTTAACAATAATATATTTCTGCAAAAGAAATTATTCTAATGTACTTATAACAAAAGGAAATACCTAAATAATACTGATACTGTCATGCAAATTAAAATTAATGATTCTTCTAAAAACTTTCTTACAATCCGCAAACCTCTCTGGATGATAAGCAGAGATGGATAGTGGCTAGCAGTGGAATCCAGGACGCGCGTTTCGTCCTACTTGGGACTCGTCAGCTGGATGTACCTGCATCTCAGAGTTGATGTTCACTCTGGGACTCGAACCCAGTACCCTCGCTTCAAACGCCATCGCGTTATCCACTCAGCCACTGAGTCCTGATAGCCAGGTACATCCAGCTGACGAGTCCCAAGTAGGACGAAACGCGCGTCCTGCATTCCACTGCTAGCCACTATCCATCTCTGCTTACCATGCTTGTGAATTAAGGTATATCGAGGCAATACGCACAGTATGCACATATGCCAACTAGAGACTGACCAGTTGCAGTCCTAAACACATCGATGGGAAGATCCAAACAAACAATACTAAGTGAATTCTCTCTTGATGAGTTGCTATTTAATGAAGTATCAAACAAGTGGGCAACACAAGTAGTTAGATTATCGAAAATACATTAGGCTTGAAGCTTAATGAATGATATATATATATATATATATATATATATATATATATATATATATTTCAACTCAGGTATTAGTAGTACTATTCAACATGTATATTCAAACTTTAGTGTAAACCAATAATCGTAACAGTAAGGGACTTCATGTAGTTGTATTGTGTATTAAAAATACCAAAAAAAGTTTCTATGGTGAGAATTCCAACAAAATCTCTTTTAATAGGATTTTGAAAGGTATGATTTTCAAGAAGTTCTAAAAAAGAAATTATCAAACAGAATCAACTCTTCAAATATAAATTACTTGTTAAGAACAAGTATATGTGTGATCAGATTGTTCGGAAGGTATTGCGCTAATATATCACATAGTTGTGATAGTCTTCATCTTCTTATTATACTATCGAAATTTATCAAAGGGATTAATTGCTTTAACAATGCACTATTAACAAGTTTCAATATATATGAGTCATAGCTAGCACTGAAGTTCAGGACTTCCGTTTTGTTTCGTTTGGGACCCATCAGCCGGGTGAACTCTTATTCCAGAGTTGACGTTCATATAATTCTCAAATACGATATCGAATTGCCTGAAACGCTCACACACAATCTAACCACCAGTGTTAGTCCAGATCCGTTATATGTTGTCCTACTGTTAGATGATCGACAGCTTACGGAAATATATCACCTGAACAGTTGGCTATCAGCTTCTTTAACTACGACGTGTACTCTGGAAAATCAAAGGATAAAGAATTCCTATGAGACTTATGTACTCATCTTACAAAAATAACCCAGTCTGAACAGTTAGGCAGTTGTTTATCAATGTTGTAAACGATATTAATCTGTTTGTAGTGAAAAGATGTGAAACATTCAACCATAGACCAATTTCAATAGTCATGAGACGAATTTTATCAAAATCTTGAGTATGTACCAATATAATCCTTGGAGTTCCACAACTGACTTTTAGGAACAGGTACTACTGTCTGATCGTCACTTTCCTCATTAGTGGTAACATTGTATCAGTTCTATTAGTCAGTCATTGTGTTTGCGCATGGGAAAACGAACACATAACTACTGATCATGACTCGAAATACTGACTTTGGTGGTGTCAACATACTTTCTGTATAACTCTTCAGTTATATGCATTTTTGTGAGGACGTCAGAACTAACGAAAAGCGAAGAGGTCCTCAGTCTGCGACCAGATGCTGTGATTTGAAGGTAATTTGTATTGGATTAACACTTGTTTATCTATCACAACGCTCTGGACCGTAATCACGAAAAGCACAGATATTAGTGATTAAAGAGCAAATGGGAATCTGAGTCAGTGGGTTTGTATCCCCAGAATTATTTCACGTGTTACTTGAGCATTTGATAAAGTTTGTTTTATGTGATTACGTTTTTCTTCGTCCTTTACCCGTTTCTCCTATGATTATTTTTTGTTTCCCATCACATCCTATTAACAAACAAACTGAATTCTCTGGTGACAAGTTAAAAGATTCACTCGAACTCCCTGAACAAGATCACTAAACAACTCATAAATCTCATGTGTTCGATGAGATGATAATCTTTGTGTTTAAAAACCTCTCACTGAAATAAGTAACTGACATAAATAATTGATATTTTAAATTCATCTCCAAATTCAAGAAGCTTCAAAAGCTATTCAGTCAATCAATCAGCTACAACGTAGGATCACGCACATATATGCATCGGTCCAAATTACCATACCCCGTTAATACAACAAGATGAACACCGAATTCATATAACTAGTTAATTTAATAGTAGTCATTTATGAAAGAAGGATTGTATAAAAGAATATAGTACAGGAAGAAAGAAAGATATGAAGCAATTTTTATCTCATAGTTTAACGGAAAATAGAGAGTGTATACACCAACACCATTGTGATAGATCCTGATCCATGTCACCCACAGTCTCCAACCATTGGTTACGATAGTAGCGTGGACCACAACTAAGTAGTCTGCATCTACTAACATGGCTTAGACTAGAAGTTAGTGACTTCAAGCACTGATGCCACGTTTTGGTTTGGCCAACGCTAACTCTCTTCCAACCATCACGTATACTAGTCAGCATAGCGTGTCGTGGTAATCGGTGTTCAGACATACGTAACACGTGACCCAACCATCTCAGTCGGTGAAGATTCATGACCTCACCAACGGATTCACCATCGTTCCACAATACCCTGTGTCTAACCTCACTACTACTTACCCGGTGATCCCAGCAGACGCGAGCAATAATTCTAAGACATCTGTGATCAAATACTAGTAAATTACGAGTATCTTCTACTCTTAAATGGACACGTTTCGCAGCTGTAAAGTAGAACAGAGTGAACTGCTGAGCAATATACCCGTTCCTTAATTGATAGACAGATATCTGGCCATCACCATAGGTGAGGTAAGTTGGCAAACGCCAAACGAGCTTTCTGAATCTGTGTAGAAATTTAATCAGACACCAACCCATTAGGGGTGATCAGACTTCCAAGATAAGTAAAGTTGTCGTGAATGACCACACTGGGATCGTGTATGCGTGTTTCGGAGACATGGCATACACCAATGGTACGAGATTCTGGGGTTTTCTTTTGCCAAGAAGACCAGCTGGCCGACTTGACACAGGGTGAGTACGCTGAAGGCTCCAATGTGTTGGTTTTAGCGAGGTTTCAGTAGACGTGGGATAGTGTTTTACGCACTAGAATCGTTGGCCATGGTGTCACTTTAGGAGGAAAACAAAAGAGGAAGTTCAGTGTTGAAAGTCGATGTAGGAGGAATAACAGGAATTGAAGAGGGAGATTGATTAATAATACAGTGGTCTTGAGTGCTGTTGGAAGTATGAGGGTGGTTAACATTTCCCAGTTGCCACATCATGGAAGGTTTCTTCCAGAGATACCTGAAAAGGAAATTGGATTAAAAGTTGTCTTAGTGACCTGAGAGCGTGACCACAGTGCCCAAGGGACAACTGCTTGAGATCTGTCAACCACGACCCCTATGTGAGTAATTTTTGTGTTACCTCCGTACTTGTTGAGACCTTACCACCGAAGATGGATATCCGTGGGATAAGGCAGTGTGCTTTTTCAGGGTCGACCTTTTCTAACCCCACCCCTCGTTGTGGGAAGGCAGTATGACTGTTATGCTGGTTGTCTGGAGGAAACACCTCACTGCCGTCACACCTCTGTACAGTCAGCAGTACGACTTCACCTTCGGACCTGTCTTTAGTCTTACCGCTCTTCAACCGACCTGTCTGGTATGGTAGAACCTTGAGGAACGATTGTTCCAGCCAGTATAGCTCGATTGGTTCATCACGATAGGCAAGCCCGACCACCACGTCAAGGTAGCAGCAACGGCGGGGTTCAAAACCTATTAATGTTTCAAAGCTGAAATAATGAGTCAATTGAAGCTAGACCACCATAGAAAACCTGGAAGCACTGGATGGCCGTTTCGCTGTATTATGGAAATCCTTGGCAGTGCGCATTCACGATCCTGCCCCGCGAGATTCGAACCCAGGACCTACCAGTTTCGAGCCAGAGCCCTTAACCGATAGACCACTGAGCTGGCCAGCATTCAACGGTGTTAATGTCTAACTTCAACCGATCCACGAATTATGAGCGACCATTCACCAATTGTCTTCAGTGAGTTGTTATCTCACAACAGACGTGGTTGAACTCCACTGGTCACTGCTTCCCACTGGAACTCCAGGACATGTATCTTGAAGTCAGTCACTAGTGAGCATACAATTATAATCAGAAGGGGTTTTGTGGAGATTTCAGTATTTGTCAGCTGAGTCCCATAATAGGACGAAACGGCCGTCCAGTGTTTCCAGGTTTTCCATGGTGGTCTAGCATCAATTGACTCATGATTTAAACTTTGAAAAATAATGTAATCGCCACAAAACACCTTCTGACTATTAGTATGTAATGTGCAACCTCAGTTCACCGATGAATTATAGCGTGAATTAGATGGCGTTGGAATCATCAGCTTGTGGGGGACGGTTGTTACTGCTATCCGATTCCTTATAATAGAGTATTCCTTAGGTCCAATAGTGAGTAACCAACAACAGTTGAGGACATATATCAAGAAGACCAAATATGTGAGATATTTGTAGTCTAAATTTCAGGCAACCGAACTCAAAGATGCAACGAAAAATTTAACAATTCAAAGAAGCATACAGAATATTCTCGATCGTCCCTGATGTACACAAAAAACAGGGAATATACAACTGTTAGGAACTTAAAAAGAAGTTTAATGATGCATGCGACAGGGCTGCTACAACTCAGTTGAAATATTTTATCTAACGACAAGGGAGTTATTAGATGTGAATATCATTGAGTCACGAACTGATCTACGTTAGATAACCACTGGAAACCTAAAAGCAATGAACAGCCGTTTCATACTAGTGCAGTACTCCTTGGTGGTGTGCATCCATGACCCCGCAGCAGGGAATTCGCCCCCGAATGCCCTGGTACGGCCGAGGGTGGGAAGAGTCCGCTCTCCCTCTCCAAATGCTCTCACATGGCCACGCGAATATATAGCCTCTACCAGGGAAGTCCTACTCACTGCCTTCTCGTGGCGCGACTGTTTACAAAATTGAGAGGACTAAAAGCAAATGTCCGGCGCTTTAACCGGGTTGGTGGACACGGAAAGTTCACCTAGGGGAGTTGGAAAACCCTAATTCCAAACCAATGATGCACATGGGCTCCAGTATCCTGATGGAACGAATTGTTGGTCACCGGCTGCCATGGGACTGCATCTCCTCACGATGCTCCACTGCCTTGTGGACTAGACCTTCAAGTCAGAGGCTCCGGGTGTGGCCCCCTAAGAAAACCACCTGCTTCATTTTGGGCACCTGGGCAGTATCACAGCCCTCACACAAATCAAATGAGATTTGTGAGGCGCATATTTATCTGGTGCTTCCTTGTACCAATATTTATATGTTTAAATAAATAAATAAATAGCAGGGGATTTAACCCAGGACCTCCAATCTCGTACGCAAACGCCTAACTTTTAGACCATTGAACTGGAGTCCAGTGGTGTACAATTTTAACTTCAATCAACTTACGATATTGTGAGACCTTTTGTCTTTAGTGGGTACCGTCCCTACACCAGACACAGTTACCTCTACTAGTTATGGTTTCTCTTTAGAACTCTGTGAATCATCCATCGAAGTGAATCACTAGTGAGCACATGATAATCAGTATGGGGTTGTCTAACTTAGATCGGTTAGTGATGTCAATGGAATTCAATAATCTCCACAACTGCATACTGATAAAACTATAATAGTCAGCTCATCAGTAACTTAGTTTCATTCGACGAGACCTCAAAAACTTCATCAAAACCTAAACAAAAATCAGAATCATAAGATTCAAGAATACAATTATCAGTAATGATACATTCCATGGATTTACTTAAGTCCTTAAGAAGTGATAATATTCATAAAAGTATTTCTGAAATGCAAACATGAACCGAACAACTACAAATTTAGTTCGATGAGCTAATATCAAGATATTTATTTGCTTCTCATTTATTACTTCTATACGTTATTTGTATGGAATGCAATCTTATGACAGTATTGCATTGCAAACACTTAAATTAAGTTGCCTGTAATTCCATGCTGTTTCTTTTTCACTATTACTTCTACTACTGTAGAGGATTATTTATAATTGATGGTAAAGGAATACTCCGTCAGATAACGGTAAATGATCGTCCAGTTGGTCGGTCTGTCGATGAAACTATACGATTGTTGGATGCATTTCAGTTCGTAGAAAAACACGGTGAAGTATGTCCAGCTAACTGGAAAGCTGGTAAGAAAACAATTAAACCAGATCCAAATGCTAGTAAAGAGTTTTTTGCTTCGCCTACATAAAATGTTCCTGTTCACTAACACATAACAATTATCGTCTACACAAAATAATGAAGTAAAATATCTATAATATGCAGTTTCATTATTAAATCGTTCATTTATTTATATATGCGTCATTGTTTAAATAAATTGATGAAAAAGATAGTTTAATACTTACACAGGTAACTTTGTTACATTATTGATAATCATTGTAATTCGAGACAAATAACTTGAAAACATTTAACCAAAGATAACTTATCTAAGCTAAGAGCACAGTGTAGATGCAAACGTCAACGATCCTCAAAATAACCGTGGATGTAAGCCCGTTGTCAGCCAATCAGGAAAGTTATTACAAATGAATAACTCCTGGGTGGAAAACAGATTTCACGCAATCTATGAAACTAGTAAAGTCACCTACAAGTTTTTCTATCTCAAAACTGACAAATTTATTTCTATGTCTAAGGAATATTTGTCTTTCCGAACCCTCGTAAGGACTCAAGTAGGTTTTTAGGAGCATGTATATAGCTTTTGGATAAGGTTCCGGTTAGGATATCTGATCAGCACGTTATTTTATATTTACACACAAAGAAATGAGCCTTTTCCACTCTATGATACAAAAATATATTAATTTTGCCTAGAATACCATACAAAGGTATTTCTGTTGTCCGTTTCACGTCATAAGGGATAAAAGTCATTCACTTTCTAAATTCGTGCAAATATCAGATGTCATTTCAGTTCTGATTGAGTTACTTACTTACTCCTGTTAGACCTCGTGGAGTAGCACAGGCCACCCACCAGCATTCTCCATCCAACTCCGTACTGAACAATCCTTCTCAGTCGTTTTCAATTGCTATTCATTCTTTTTAGGTTTGGTTTCAATTCCCGACGAAGTGTGTTCTTTGACCTTCCTCTTCTTCGTTTCCCTTCAGCATTTCAAGTTAGAGCTTGCCTCGTGATGCAGTTTGATGATTTCCTCAATGTGTGTCCTATCCACTTCCACGGTCCTTTCCTCCTCCTTAGCTCGAAACCGGTTTGTTCTCTCCTACAGCAGGCTGTTGCTGATAGTATCTAGCCAACGGATGTTCAGTATCTTACGTAGACAATTGTTTATAAATACTTGTACTTTTGTGATGATGATTGTAGTAGTTCTACAAGTTTCAGCTTCGCACAGTAGAACTGTCTTGAAGATCCTGACTCTAATGTTGGCTGATAGTTATTTTGAGTTCCATATATTCTTCAATTGTAGAAATGCTGTCATTGCTTTGCCAATTCTCGTCCATACATCCACGTCAAATTCTCAACATTTATTGATGATGCTACCTAGATACGTGAAAGTTTCCAACTCTCCTAGAGTTTTTCATCAAGTGTGATTGTGTCGTTGCTCTCTTTGTTGTATTTCAGCACCTTGCTTCTCCCTTGTGTGTATGTTGGGGCCTAATGCTACAGAGGCTGTTGCTACATTGGCTGTCTTCACCAGCATTTGTTCATGTGTATGGGATAGAAATGTCAGGTAATCTGTGAAGCTCAAATTGTCTATTTGCATGCAACACGTCCATTGTATTCCGTGCTTCCTCTCAGATGTCGAGGTCTTCATAATCAAGTCAATCACCAGAAGAAAGATAAAGGGGGAGAGTAAGCAGACTTGTCTGACTCCAGTCCCTATTTGGAATAAGTCTGTCAGCCGTCCTCCATGAACGACTTTGCAGTGTAGTCCGTATGAATTCCGGATGATGTTGACGGTTTTATCAACCATACCATAATGTCGAAGAAGGTTCCATAAGGTTCTCCTACCCACACTGACAGTAATGTGATGCCTCTATAGTTCTCACACTTGCTCAGATCTCCTTTCTTTGATATCTTGGTGAGGTATCCCTCCTTCCAGTCTGTCGGCACTTGTTCTTACTCCCCAATTTTCATGAATAGAGTGTGGAGCATGTATGCAGTTACTTTTATGTCTGACTTTAGTGCTTCGGCTGCTATATTGTCTGGTCCTGCTGTTTTTCCTCTTTTAATTTGTTTGATAGCCATGTTGATCCCTTTGATTATTGGTGAGATGAAATATAGATGAAGCTCTGTACGTGCTGCTTCGATGTCCGGTGGGTTCAGTGGGGCTAGTTTATTCAGGAGTTCCTCAAAGTGTTCCACCCACCTGTTCCGCTGTTCTTGAACCTCAGTGATTGACTTGCCCTTTGTCTCTGACTGGTCTCACTGGTTTACTATATTTCCCTGCTAGTGATTGGACCACACATACGTCATATATAACACATGAAAGATGATGATAATGATACTTGTGTAAATAGTTGCGTGACAAATAGTAGTAACAAACGGAGGTATCATGACAAAAGTAAGAAAGTTATAAGTTATGTATTTCATGGGAAAAATTAACATGTAAAAAAAGTAAAGGCCATTGCGACTTCTTATCAAGGAGAGCTGTTGTAAGGAAACGGTTAAAGAATAATTAGCCTGTGATTACTTTTGTTCAACGCCATTTTTGTTACGATCAATATCTGAAGAAAATCCATCAATCAAAAAATTATTAGTGAGGTATTTGGTAATCACGAACATTGGGAAGGAAAGCAACAAACAAGGAATTTATTTGAGGACAATGCAAGCAACTTTTCCAAGTTTCTAAGCATGTGCAATAACTAAAACTGAAGACTAATTTTTCCCGTACTGTTTCAGTAGAGGGTAAGTCCCAACAAAGGTTAGACTAGTTTATGTGATGGAGGTGACTTACAACATTAAATACATAAAACTAATCGGTGTTGTAAGACAAAAAACCACTGATAAAATAACAAGCAATACGAAGTACTCAATTTTTATCGAACTGTTCTTTAGTGAATTATAAGTCGACCAAACGCGACATAGGACCTGGATAGTGTCTACATCGTTTCTGATTGCCATACCCCATCAACACAGTGAGACGGAATAGTCAGGGCACATCCCACTTCTAGGGGTAGTAACCGTGTTGGTGGTAACAGAAAAGATAGGGCATCGAAGATATCATAAGATACAAGATGAATTAGTGAAATAAATGTGGGATTTGAAAACTTGGGAAATAAGGGAGGACAGATATCGAATTCACCTGCGACATTGTGAATGATTTTCAGTCATTTCACTCAGAGTATCTAACCACTGGTTACGACAATTACGCAGACCCTAGCTAGGTAGTCCCTACTCAGTGTCCTCATCAAACGGTGACGTCTTGGTTTACCCGCTCGTAGCCCTCTTTCAACCCACTCATACACTAGCCATCATCGCCCAAGAAAAGCTCCACCAAACAGTTGATTTAATATAATTATCACATTCCTGAAAACACTATTCACACAATAGTATGTCCAAACAGCTAGATAATTGTAGTGTACAAATAATTGAGCTCAGTGGATAGGTGAACATTGATGCTTATATTCCACATTTAGTTTATGCATACTTCATCAGCTCTTACTACAGTGGTACGAACATGAATATACCTTTATACACTATGAGAAACTTAGTGGATGTATGGAATACGTAACTTAGTGAATTGCGTGACAAAGCTAGAATATATAGATAATGGATTCCAGTTGTGATGCAAATATCAACATCTTGATCCAGTTTACCAATCCTAGATAGAACAAAACGCGGATCCTAGGTACTAAAAACATTTGCACTGTAAGATTTTGACCATGACAACCACAATTTAGTTCAAATCTGCCAGGAATATCTTTTTTTGAAGATAAGATTCCTATGGTACTTGTTTGAGAAAAACAGAATAAACACACAACACAACGTTAAGGGACACAATATATTTGGATGACGCCTTACTGGTTAAGAGCTTAAGCTTATTAGGCTAATTAGTGACCCTATGTAGTTTGCCGTCTACACACAATGAAGATCATTATATGGGGGAAGCTATAGTGAGTTATAGATCAGATTTTAGCAGAAATATTACCGTATACACTACATTGTTTCAACATCCACCATGTACAAATATATTTATTTAACAGAGGGAAACTCCTTTCCTTGTACTTTAAATTATCACCTACACGGCTTTGTACGACTTTCCAACACTACATTTGCTATGGCCAAGCGTTTCCCAACAAACTGTTTATCAAATGTAAAAGCTTATGTGCTGCGAAGATATTGCGAAACCGTACAACTAGTGTCAACTCATCATAACAGAAGAGGTATTAATTAGAAAAAACACCTAAATTGATTGCGTAGTGACTTTGATTGTTCGGATATCGGAGAAAAATAACCACTCATTACAGTAGTTCATAGCAAACTATAATTACGTTTCCTGTAGACCACATCTGAATACAATAACCCTGAAACTAATAAACTTGAAGGTGGTAACTAATTGCATTCAATCTTATTCATTATTAGTTCTTCTGATTTTATCAAGGCAGTCTACCATTCAATCAACCAAGACTTTAAATCAGGAAATCTACTATGAGAGGCCAGTATATCATTTACGAATATAATAGTAGTTTCTTAAGTTAGCTGACCAAGTTGACATAACTAAACTTATCTTGAATTAAACAAGTAGACCAAATAATACTCTAATAATTTAATGTTTTGTGATCATTGAATTAGTTAGTCCTGATATAATTACTGATGTGTAGCTTTTGATCAACCACTTTGACACTTCGATACCTTGCCTAGTCGTCCCGAAATACTTTTAAACTTAAAAGTATCATGGTGATCTCTATCCTCGAAATTTCACAATATACATATCTTTTATAATGTTCCGAACCGGTCTTATGCACCTAGATATCGCCAACTAGGGAAATACCGGAACAACAATGTCTCTTTTTCGAATGCAGCTACTAATTTTCAGTTTTTAGGGAATTACAATAACACGGTGGATTTTGTCTTGGGAGAAAAATGTTGTTCATTTATACCCAACTACGATTATATTTATCTTTTATCTCTTGCATAATTTATTATGAAACAAATACAGAATGCACTCTAGAATATAGGTAAAGTTAGGTCAATATAAATGGATACGTAATAAGAGCAGAATAGACGTACGATTTTCCCAAGTTTGTCAATCATTCGACGGTAAAGTCTTTGTGGGATACCATTTCGTCAAGCGAAACACAACCACTTTTGATAACCATGTTATATTTATTTATTTAAACACATAAATATTAGTACATAGGGGCACCAGATACATATGCGCCGCACAAA